AAGATATAAAATATTACTCCGGATTTTCAGGGTTATTGATCAGCGAATTAAGGTCCAATTCGCATTCCGGTGACACTTGTACTTTATATAAAGATTTAAAATATGAACTTGACTATTTATCAACAATAATAATACAATTTAAAATTAATTATATTCTTGAGAAAAATTATATGTAAATAAAAGTAATATGCATACCACTTGTTGTGTTGAATATGGGATATGAACTTGTTCTGCAAAATCCCATGAAATGTGAAGTTCAATATTAAGTGAATCTGCAGATTTAATGGGATTTGGATGTTGACTGAATTCCTCCTTTGCATTTTTTATGCAGTCCCTAAAAATTAATGATTTGGTCAAAATAAGTTCTGTAATCTTTAACAAAAAAATTTGCAGTTGATACCTATAATATTCACACTCTTTTGTTGCCCATGCAATATGATCATTCCATTCTCTAATTTTTATTTCCTTTTCTTCTTGTGTCCAATAACTTGCATTGAACCTATATTCTTTGCAATTATGACATAAATCACTTCTAGGTGTAAGAAATTTTATCTCTGGAAGATATGTCTTCCATATTCTTCTAAATGTTCTATTTGAGATGTAAATTTCAGAATTTTCTTCAATTGTATCAATAAAATATTTAAATACAGTTGTATGATTTTCATTTGTTGGAAGAAATATGATGTTTTTTGTGTCTTTTTTAAATTTTCTTCCTGTAACAAATTAAATTTACTTTAATTAATAAAATTTTAAAGTTGATTAATATTTATTTTTATTTACCTGGAGATGGGAGTCCATTTATATTAGAGTAATTTAATATAAATTTAATAACCTGCAAAACTCCATCAAATGATATTGCTCTATTACTTGCTTTTCCTGTTAATGGACTTGTTCTCAACTGTATATCAAAATTATCAAAATGACTTCTAATATTTTTCCATCTTGTAGTGCCTATACCATAGATACCCAAAAATGCAGTTTTGCAAATTTCTATGCCATCAAAAAAATAAATATTTGCAAATTTCATTCTTTTCTCTTTTTTAGCAGTTGTTTCACTTCTCAAACTGGCAGAAAGAATACCTTTCAAAAAAATATCCTGTTCAGTTTCCTTAAATCAAGAAAGCATTTATATCTAGTTTTAACATTATTAAAGTTCAACTTCTTTTTCAAGCATTATTTTTGACAGCAAATTTTTTCTAGTAAATTTTCTATATAATGGTTTATATCATTGTCTATTTCCATTTGTTCTTCAGAATCAATGATTTGGTCATCTATTATTTTGTTTTTATTATAAATATTTTTAAATTTATCTATTTGTTCTTTAGACAATGTTTCTGTTTCATTATCACTTTCTTCTATTTCATCATGGCTTTCTTTTATTTCATTGTGAGATTGTAAATAAGGACTGGGGAAGTCCCGAGCATGTCGATCAATCGGAACCAACTTACTGTGGCAGCCACGTGACAATGACATCATTTTCTATTTTTATCTAATATTTTGTGTAACAACTACGCCACATACTGCGTCATGTTACACATTACATCATTTCTATTTTTAACTTATTTTATGACATAATTATTTACTTTTAATTATTAATTCAATTATTTGTAATAGTGACTCATAGGATTAGTCATTATGAGTCATAGCATTAGTAATTAATGATTAGTAAGCTAGTATTACAGAAAATAGGATTAATAAGCATATATTATTGGACAAAATATTGTAAAGGTCATGTTATTTGTAATACCTCAAGAGGTATAAATAGGCTTGGTTTTAGACCAAGTAAGAATCATCATGTTCATGATACGAGAATAATAATATAATATTAACTTTGTAACAAAAATAATATCACTAATAAAGACACATAACACTTTTACAATAAATAATTGAACTTCTAATAAAACCCTTAATAAAACCTTTGCTGAAAAGCATACCTCACCTCAAATTAAGACCATACTAACTAAGGGACGCCTTAGTCAGACAGTGGAATATCTATTGATTATTTTTAGGCTTTGCCAGCAGTACTTCCATTAGTACTGTAGAGAGAGATTGCGCAAGAGAGAGAGATTTGAGTAGGCTCTTAGCTGTGTGCGAAGATAGAGGCCTGGGAATTTGAGAACCCTTAGCTGTGTGTGAAGATAGGGAGATTCATATATTAGAACTTTTATTTTATCTTATATATTTTATTGGACACCACCCGAGCTGTAATTGAATTTACACGCTTGCAATACCATCAGAAGTATTTTGAAGGTGAGAAAATATAGGTCCTTATGTTTTAAAAAATAAATGAAACCAAAACTGTCAAAGAATATTTAAATGAAGAAAGAATCACTTTTGAAGAAGAAGGAAGAATCTTGGCCAATAAAAAGGTATTAACACAAAACCACAAAGAACCTAAAAAAACCAAAAATTAGAAGAAGATTGATTCATTCAAGTTTGGCATTATCTATCTGGTTTTAGACAAGTGATATCTTTTGAATCCATCTTTTACAAATGGACAAACATTGTCATAAAGGAAATCTTGATGCTTAAGGTCCAGATGAATAGTAGGTTTCAAGAGGAGGAATGATAAGTTTTTAATACTTTAACAGCTTCAGAACCCCTTTTTTAGTTTTCAACAATTTGAATTCTTAACTCACTAATATCAAAACATTGAAAGCTTTTTCCTAATGAGTTTTATCAAACCTTGTAACCCTAGATCTTTTTACAACATCCACAACATGATTGTTACACATGCTTAACTGTTGTATTTTGATATGGGGCATGCTGCAACAAAACCAGACAAAGTGAACATTAGTATTACTGACGATTTCAGGGATCAAAATTTAGTTATCATCAATATGTTATATTTGTTTCTTAATATTAAGTAGTGATATATACAATTGCCTAAAGCTCCACATGAGCCAGCTCAAGCTGGCTTGATAATAATAATTTCTCAATTTAATGTTTCCATTCACTAATACCAATTTTTGAATAATATCCAAATTATAGATGTTTGATTGTTTTTGAAAAAAATCAATTTTGACAAGCAATTTTGGACAATATTTTTTATAACAAAGGCCATAAAAAAACAATCTAGCATTTCAACTACTGAGCTAATGGACTCAAATAATTTGGGTATAATTTTGGCATTTAATAAAATCAACTTCGGCTACTATGAGAAACTACTTGGGCATTTCTGATTCATCTAGTAATACTAAGAGTAATGTATAAAATTAAGCAGGAGCAATATTGCTTTGTTTGGGATTTTTGAGCTTTTAAAAATCATGTGATTTTTATTAAAGTTTCTGGACATTTTGCCCTGCATTTGGGCAATATGTAGATGAAACTAATTTGAGCTTTTAATCTCTTAGGGCAAAATTACCCAGAATGAGCAAAACTCTGATTAGTCAGAACTTGATATCATGTGTCATATTAAAAATCTGATCAAACAATACTTAATAGCAACAGTAACAAGCAATAGTAGAATTTTAAATGAACCTGAATTTTTTATTATTAAGAAAATTATCAAAGAAAATAATTATAAATAAAATAATTGATTATCCCCTTCAATTATTCTATTTGTTTCATAATATGGTCAATTTTCACAAAAATTGAACCCTGTTTTAGATATTTATATATCTGATAAAACCAATAGATCTAAAACCAAAACCGTACATTATAGATGCTGGTCATGATGGTTGCAACCACCTTTGCGACCACTTTGGTTTCCTTTTTTGGATTGCAACATGGAACACTACCCTACATACTACTCTATGAATTGTATAATCACTAAAAACATTATCCCCTAAATTGGCTATCGTACAAATTTGTACGATTAAATTTTTTTATATAAAAAAATTTTTCTGATCATCACGCTTTCTAATTAACAAATGATATTTGAGATTCTATACATTGATCTATATATAGAAATTCGGCCATTATTATTATGGGTTTTGTAAAACTGTAAAAAGTCTACAATGCCCGTGTCGATCATTACCTTAAAAATTGATATATTCATAATAAAATTTTTTATTGTGCGATTTGATTGGTGGAATTTTGTAATTTACCAATAAAATTTTTCGAAATTCCCTTATTCGAAAATGTGGACAGTTTAAGGGATAATCACTAAATGTGTCTCAAATCAATAATAAGTCTTGTAAAAATATTAATTCTGTTTGAACCATTTTGCCAGAAAAATGAAGTTGGAAAAATTATAATTATTTTCATGATACATGACATTTGTCCATAATCAACTAACACAAGATAAATAAGATAAATAAATACATGCATAATGAATATCTTGCTAAAGGTCAAAATCCTGTGAATAAAGAATTCTTGTATTTTTATTACATTTATTTTATACTCTATTATGGAATTTTTTTGGAGTGTACTTTTTGCTTGGAGTATCGAAACAAGTTGGGAGATAAATTGTTGATGATGATGTATAATGCACGAATTGTTATCATATGATCTTTGAAGTTCCTCATCATCATTTGCATCATTGATTTCCTGTCAAAATAAAATTTGAATATCAACAAGCACATTATCATTTTGTCTCATATAATATACAAACCTTTGCTTTCCATGCAAGCATGATCACTGGAAGAGCTCTTGTACCAAATTCAGTGACAGTTGATGGAATAGTCAACGTTTTAGAATGAGATATTTGACAAATATACCCTGGAGGTGAGTCTAATGTAAAGAAATTATTAAAATTAGTCAAGAAAATCAGTGGTGAAAATATTTATAATATATGTAACAAATTACTCCGAAGTCATGTGTAACATCGGGGTGGTACATAAATATTTACATTAGAAACGTGACACATTTA